TGCCCCTCCCCGACGAGGGCATATTTGGCAATGTCTGGAGGACTTTCTGATTGTCAACAACGGAGCGGAGGCTGGGTGCTACTGGCATCTGGTGAGCAGGGGCCAGGATGCAGCTAAACATCCTCGAGTAAACAAGATATAATTCTGCACAATAAAGAACTATCCCATCCAAAATGTCAATGGAGCTGAGGTTGAAGAACTGCTCTCCACACACTTAGTAACGAATCACCTTAAGATCACCCTGGGTTTGTTTGGTAAGCAGGACTATTTTTGGATAATTAACACTGGTGTTAGAATATATCATTTGGGAGTTCAAGGCTTCCTGACTATGCACACTGACTTGCTGCCACCTGGTGGTGCTGTTCAGACACAAGTCCCACATGACGCCAAGTTACTGGACCAGCCCAGGAAGCAATTGGGATATATCCTCTCCAACAACAGAGCAGATCTTCTAGTCAGTTACCCTCACTGGTCTTCAGAAGAGCCAAAAAGTTTGAGAGATTTCCCTTCAAACCCATCTAGAACCCAACAGTGGCTTGAAGCCACCTTGTGGCACCACTGAGCATCACCACATTAAATTCCTATTAATTTCAACCCTACAGCTAGAAAAATGTTTCTTTCATAAAATGAAACATAAGGGAAACGGAGGCGGTGAGGTAAAAGGCACACAAACCATTTTTACAATAGTTCTGCCTACAGCACTCTCTCTCCTGCCTACCGGGAGTGAAGCATCTCCAGCTCTGGTTATCACTATCATCCTTTAACATCAGCACACGGCATAGGCCCGCCTTTGCCGTATCAAGCTTCACAGATTTGCAGTATTTTACAAATTGAAAGCTGTGGCGACCTTGTACCAAGCAAGTCTACTAGTGCCATTTGTCAATAGTGTTTACTCCCTTCTGTCTGCCACATTTAATTAAGGTCTGTACAATTTTTTTTGACATAATGTTATTGGACACTAAATAGACTACAGGATAGTGTAAGCACACTTTTCACATGCACTGGAAATTTTTTTAAATCCTGTGACTTATTTCATTGCAACACTTGCTTTATTGCATTGGGCTGGAACTGACCCATGGGATCTCCAAGGGGTGGCCTGGATATGCAGGTGCTAATTTCTCAGTTAAGTACAGCAGCAGGGCCTGTGTGGTATCATGACAACTTTCAAATTTGTTTGCAGCCCATAGTCCACTTAGAAACATAAATATTTCGCCAAAAAACTTATTCAGAGTATGAGGCACTCAATTATCTAGTCTATTTTATTCATGTTCTTTAAAAGACACAGCTGCAGGGCCTCCCTGGTGGCACAAGGGGTTAAGATGCAACCTATGAAGCTGTCCACACCACTGCAGCATGAGTTCGATTCTTGGCCAGAGAGCTGACTCACATGGCGCAGCAGACCTCTCCTGATTCGCTCGCTGCTCAGCAGTGTATTTCAGTCAATCTGCCTTTCTGCTCCCCACTCTGTCTCTGGTGAATCCTCTCACCCATCCCCCATCTCTGGCCTGTACCCCAGCTTTTGTATACATAAATAAACAAATCTTTAAAAAAAACAAACAAACAAACAAAACCAAATAAACAAACAAAAAAAAGATCACAACCCTTGGGCCTCCCTGTGGCACAAAGGGTTAAGTACCGCACTCTGAAGCAATCCACAGCCTCTGCAGCACGAGTTCGATCCCCAGTGGCCAGGGAGCAACCCACATGGCGAAGCAGACTTCTGACTTGTCCACTGCTCCCCTTAGCAGTGTACTTTGATCAGTCTGCTTGTTTTGTTCCCTACTCTGTCTCTGGTGAATCCTCTCACCCCCTCTAGCCTGTACCTCAGCTCTTATATGCATAAATAAATCTTAAAAAAAAAAAAAAGATCACAACCCTTGGTTTGAAAAACACTGCTACTAGGTGTGTTCTGATGACATAACACGGGAGCCTATGCCCACCTTTTGATGGAACTGCTGCTTGGGCGGAGGAAGAACAGTGAGAGGGCACAGGGCTTTTAAACAAGTTGGAGGCTCAGGATGAAATCTATCTGCCAGTACTAAAATCTGTTGTGTAATTTCAAATATTCTTTGTAGCCTTTGGAAAATTCAAGAAAGGTGACTGAAAATGGCATGGTAGCATGCAATCTAATGTGTCTAAAAGGGATTCCAAAAAGATTTAAGAAGACCCAGCTCTGTGAGGCTGCCACTGGTCTCTTCAGTTCTAAAGTTGATATCCCATCTCAAAGACCTAGTACCGGGTCATTAAGTTCAAACTTAATGGCAAACTTTTTCTTTTGAAAGGGCTCTGTAAGGGAAATTCCCCCCAAAATGTGGTATATCTTTTTTTAATGATTTATTCACGCATACATGAACTAGGGTACAGGCCAGAGGTGCGGGGGGCGAGAGGATTCACCAGAGACAGAGTGGGGAGCAGAACAGGCAAGGCTGGAGAGGTCTGCTGCGCCATGTGGGAAGCTCCCTGGCCGGGGATTTAACTCGTGCTGTGGATAGCTTCATAGGTTGCGTCTTAACCCCTTGCGCCACCAGGGAGGCCCCCCCAAAATGTGGTATATCTTAATGAAGGCAAGAAGTTTGCAAACTACAGAATTTCAGATCTAAAAAAAACTTATTTCACAATCTAAAAAAAAAAAAAAAACAAAACCCCACTCAAACAGGGAAGCCAGGTGCTTGAGGTCAGAGTGAGCCAAAGTGAGAGCTGAGCCTACAACACACCTACCACACTTCCTGTATGGCCTCAAACCACAACTATGACACCCCTGGGTAAGAAGAAAGCAGACTGAGGCTGGCTGACCTATAGTTGGAGAGTAATTCCATGTCTAATGTTTTAGTGAACAGGTCTACGTTGGCCTAAATGAAGCTGGAGAACTGTGGCTGGGGCTCAGTCTGGCTCAACATTTTTATCAACAACAAAGGAAGTTTGTTTATGAAACCTGTCCTTGACAACACAGGAAAGACATAACAAGTAAGATTCCAGAATCAGAATTCAAAAGGATTTTAGAAGCCTGAATCAACAGAGCCAATAATATCAAGTTGAAATGCAAAAGAGATAAATGTAAAGCCCTATATTTGGATTTCAAAAACCAAATAGAGGGTTCTAGGTAAGATGGAGTGACACATTCAACCCTTTCTCCACACTGAATACAGCTATAGGATCTGGACAGACTACATGGCCTTTGACATGCAAGCAGAGTGGGGAAAGACCAAAATATATAGAGTGCCACTGGGATAGCAGTGCATTTCCTAGTTTGTCCCCCCTCTTCCAGTGTGGCCCAGATCCAGAAGCAAGTGGTGGAGACTGACAGAGAGCAGTCCAGAAACCCTCAGTTCTGGTTCGAGGAGTGAGAAAGGAACGCCTAATTCTCAGAGTGAGGGATATCATTGCTTCTTCTCTCTTCTTCATTCTCACGCCGGATTTCCAGGCATTACCCTAGGCTCACAGGGGCATTGGAGACAGTGGGGTTTTATAGACACAAAAACTCTGAAGGATCAGAGAAGTGAGATGTGGGCCTAAGATCACCAGGCAAACCCTGGTAGCTTTTCTTGTCTGTGTTCTCCCACAGCTCAGCACTGGATGCAGATGCTGTTGCCGGAAGTCTGTAGCAGAATGGGTTAACTAAAACCCACCCAGCTTTCTGGGGCCTCCCTGGTGACACAGGGGTTAAAGTCTCAGTGCTATCAAGTTATCTCCAGTCACTGTGGCATCAGTTCAATCCCAGCCAAGGAGCTGACCCACATGGCACAGCAGACCTCTCCTGACTCGCCCACTGCTCCCCTCAGCAGTGAATTTCAGTAGGTTTGCCTGTTCTGCTCCCCACTCTGTCTCTGGTGAATCCTCTCACCCCCTACATCTCTTCTACACCCCAGTTCTTGTATACATAAATAAATAAATCTTGGAAAATAAAATAAAACCCCAGCTTTCTGGCTCTAGGTCTGAAAAAGGAAGCACCAAGAAACAGGAAACTAGAGGGGAGATCATGCACAGGAAGGAGATAAGAAGAGACACCGCTATCAAAAGGGCCATTCACTTATATGATCTGACGGGTTTTTATGAGCTGGGAAACCCAATTAAAATCAGTGTTCCCATGTTTTCTGAGAGATCAGATTTTGCAGCAAAAATAAATGACTTACCCTGCATTTATAGCCTGGTTCATGATAATACTGACGTACAGGAAGTATACCATTTTACACACGTTTTAGTTTCCTACCAAGTGGGGCAAATTTCCCAATAGGAAAGAAGGATGATCTTTCCTGCATCCACAGCACCTGTCCCCGCATGAAACACCACACACTGCTGGGCGCTGCTTCTGTCCATCCATTGTGGATCAACATCATCTCCAGACCGGGACTCGTAACTGCCCTATCCTGGGAAGCTAGCCAACTTCTCCAGGGTTTCTTTCACATGTATTAACCTGTACCCGTGATCCGTACACAACTCTATTAACCTTAGTAAAACAAAGACACATGTAACATGTCCCCCAGACATCTGGCATCATTAGTCTTATGCGAGAATGATCACACGTACTAAGCAGGGAGTAAAAAAGACTTCTGTCAGGTGGGCGCTGTGGCTCCTGCTCTGTCCATGGGTTTCAGGGCTGAGGCCCCCTGTATGTAAGCTGCTCTTAATAAACTTTAATTGTGATTAATGGATGTGCCTGCTTCATTCTTTGCACTCAAATTACCTTCTCAAGCTGGGGAAACATATTTATTCCCACAGCCGCAGAGAATGCCAGCAACACTGCTGAGCTACTTTACCAGCCAGGCCCAAGGGAAGGTCTGTTCTGGACTCAACACAAGTCAGTACTTTTTTTTTTCTCTTTGCTTAATCCAGTTTGGCTTTGTGATACTTGTAAATAATTGAGCCCAAACTAAGAAAAATAAACCCTCATAGCTCCAGTGGCCAGTCTACCACCCCAAACTCTCTATCTCAGTCATTCCTGACAGGCCAGATTCTAGTAACACCAAGAAAAGACCAAACCAAGCAAAGTGGGCTCCGCTTACCTTCTTCTAGTTTCTTCTGTTCAAGCTTCACCTTCTTTGCCAATAATTTCTTTTCTTTTAACTTCTGGCTACAAAGGTAAAACAAATATATTAATCTCTTAACTACCTTGTTGTTTATTTTGGAAAGTAACCATTAACTGAGAACATCTTTTAAAATTTATTTACACAAACACTACAATAACAAAAGAAATACTTTCTCACCATTTGGCTTCGCCAATATTAGTAACACGATCAGGTTGCTGAAGGAGGGCCCCCCCATGGCGCAGCGGTTGAGCGCTGGGTTGCGAAGCTGCCCGCAGCCTCTGCAGCGCCAGTTTGATCCCTGGCTGCTCCCCGGCCACCGGAGGAGGGTCCCGCATGGAGCGCAGACCTCGCCTGTCTCACCTGCTACTCCCCTCAGCAGTGTATTTCGTCAGTCTGCCTGTTCTGTTCCCCGCCCTGTCTCTGCTGAATCCTCTCACCCTCCCGCGCATCTGGCCTGTGCCCCGGTTATTGCATAAATAAAAAGATCTTTAAAACAAACAAACAAAAAACTTGCTAAAAGCTTTGCTTCCTCTTCAGACTGAGTTCTGACTTGTTTCTGGATTATATGACACTTCTTCACTAATTTACTGCCTAATTTACTAATTCTTACATTAATTTACTAGAAGTTTGTACTAAAATACTAACTTCTGTGATGCCGATTCTTCACAAATTATTTGTGAAGATGTAAAAGCTTTGATCACTTTGTGGGGTCTCATGTCTTTGAGCCTCCTGTATAATATGAAGTTTTTTTTCTCCTTTGTTAATCTGCCTGATGTCAACTTAAATATCAGACCTGTCAAAAAACCTAAAGGAAAGAAAGGAAAAGTTTCCTGCCCTACACTGTCTTCATCATGAATCAGATAAAATCCTCAGGTGTCCTGAGGTGACTAAAGCAACCTCAGAAATGCTGGAGATGCCTTTTCATTGCAAGATATTTATTTTTTTTAAGATTTATTTTTATTTATTTATGCATACAAGATCAGGGGTATAGGCCAAAGATGAGAGGGGGTGGAAGGTGGGGGGAGATGAGAGGATTCACCAGAGACAGAATGGGGAGCAGAACAGGTGGCTCTACTGAAATTCATGCTGAGGGGAGCAGTGGGTGAGAAAGGAGAGCGAGGTCTGCTGTGCCATGTGGGTCAGCTCCAGGCCTGGGTCAAACCCATGCCAGTGGCTGGTGATAGCTTGATGACGCTGAAACTTGAACCCCTGCGCCACCAGGGAGGCCCCATTCCAAGATATTTAAAAACCGTTTTTAGAATTCTGCACAGCTCTCTAAAGGTGGAGGTAGCATTTATTAAAAAACACTCACACTGTAGCCTGTAATAATCAGGCACTTACTTAGGTCACATACCCTAAGCTAAATGAGAAACTGAGACAGATCGTTGTTAAGTCTGATGTTAGAATACAGAAGTGAAGGAGACAGAAATCCATGCAATGACCAAAGTGCTGACTTCCAAGCTCTGGATAATCTGTAATGAGCTGGGGGTGGATGTGGGGAGAGAGTTAAGTCAGGGGAGAGCAATCAGTGATTTCACCTCTCCCAGGTTCTAGAAGGAAAGTCATTCCTTGGCTGGCTGCTCCACCACAGGTTGAAAAGCCAGAGATCCACAGGTCAGACAGGTGAAGCTGCCACTGCAAGGACTTGCATCAGCTATCTACTCTCACATGTCCCACGCTTAAGTCACCTCAGTTATGGGGTACCACAGTGCCCTTACCGCTTTTTTCGCCGCTTTGCAGTCTGCTCCTCTGCAGCAATTTTATTCCTTTCCAATCTCTTCTGAAACTCTGCATCCAATTTTTGCTGCAAAAAAGCCCACATCATTTAGACACACTTGAGTCTGGGTCACCAGTAGTAGGGTTCTGTTTGGGCTGGGTCTGAGAGTTCTAGAAGTTATACCACTGGGGGTGCTATAAATTCATCAAGTCTCCAGGGTCATCCCTTTCAATATATGGCTCTATAATGGCAAGTAACTCTTTCAATTAAGATACCACCCATGCACAACAACCTGTGAGAGAAAGTAAGAGGGGGCACACTGTGTCTTCCTTGAAGGCACAGAGCACCACCAGCTCTGCTGAGCCAAGGCAGTGTGATACTGTGACTGAGAACAAGAAATATTTATATTTGGTTTTCATTCACTATTCCTGGCATGAACTTCTAAAACGCTTACAAATTTCCCATCTAAACATCAAAAGGGCATCTTTTATTATATTTAGTTCAGTTCCCAGTTTCGGAATTAGCTGGAGATAAAAGGTGAAATGGGTGTCTTTTGTTATTGATAACAAACCCCTCTCAACTAAAGTTAAGGAAGGACTTTTATTTTTTATTTTTTAATTTTTTTTAAGATTTATTTATTTATGCAAGCACTGGGGTACAGTCAGAAGCACGGGAGGGTGAGAGAATTCACCAGAGCCAGAGCAGAGAGCAGAACATGCAGACTGACGAAGTACACTGCTGAGGGGAGCAGCGGGCGGCAGGAGAGGTCTGCGCGCCATGTGGGACCCTCGCCCAGAGGCTGGGGATCGAACCGGCGCTGCAGAGGCTGCGGGCAGCTTTGCAACCCAGCACTCAACTGCTGCGCCACCAGGGAGGCCCAAGGAAGGACTTTTAGAAAGATAAAGGGTAGAGGGTTAGTTGCCAGGGAACTTTCAGTTCCATCTCCCAACCTCTAGAGACAGGAGGGGCTGGAGGTTGAATTAATCACTAGGGGTTAACTGCTGCAGGGAGCCTTGCTGCCCCAGCCAGGTAAGACACTAGCAAGCAGCTAAGAAAAGGGCCTTATACCGTGGGGCCGAAGCTTAAAGAGCCTCACAGCATGGGGCTGAAGAAAAAGAGCCTCACACCGTGAAGCTGAAGATTTCTTGTGTTTCACACTGTGGGGCTGAAGACTGAACATTCCTTTGTTTTTTGTTCTTGGTCATAATAAGAAAGAACTTTTTAGTAAATACATTGGGCAATAAATTATAAGTATATTATAAGTACATGGCATGGAAAATTACTTACTTAAAAATTAAACACTGAATAATTTGGCCCACTTGACAATGGGAAATAATTATTGTACAAGGGCATGTCTGATAAGCAACCCAGAGCTGGTCATAATAATATTCCTCATATGGAAGTTCCGTAGAGAAGCCTTGTAATGAATCATAAAGTTGATTACGCTAGGAGTTTCTAGGTAGAAAAAAGTGCTAATAACTGATTACTGGGAAGCAACTGGTTTCTAGCTGCGGGCCATATAGATAGAGGAGTCTCCTGATATTGTAGCCTTGGCGATAGGGCGGTACCAAGGACTGTTAGCTGACCTTGTTTAGTCTGTAATAATGAGTCTAAATTTTAATTATCTATTAACTTTTTTTAATTTAAATTTTATTTTTATATTCCCCAAACAATTACAACCCCCTTATTTTGACCCCAAGCCCTCCTTTCCCCGCCCCCACCCCCCCTTATCTATTAACTTTTAAGGTAGTTTCTTTTCTCAAAAACACCTAGGTGTCAAAATGTCTATGGGAAAGGAATGTACTGATTGTTTTGTTTTGCTTCTATGCATATGATGATGTAATCCCATTGCTTGCTTTAAACATATAAATAAAGACCCGCTAAGACTCTCAGCAGGAGATGCTTTCACCAAAATAAGAGTGTCTGTGTCTACCTCATTTCCCCTTCCCCTTCAGTCCTAAGGTTTGGCCTAGGCCGGCTCATCCTTTCTGGGACACCTGACCTGACATTTTGCTAAAAGCTGGTCTTCGACCATACCTTCAAAGACTCCCAAAGGATGGGATGAAAGAGCTTCTGGGATGAAGAACACATGGAGGTACTAGGGTGGGAATTGAAGCTCTGAGTCCCTTCCATCTGGCTATTCCTGAGTTACGTCCTTTTAAAATAAACTAGTAAGTAAAACACTTCCCTGAGTTCTTTGAGCCACTCTAAGTAAATGAATCAAACCCAAGAAGGGAACTTCTGATTTATTTGTCAGTTGGTGAGAGCAGGGCAGAGACAGCAGGTAACTATCTGGACTTGAAATTGAAGTGTCAGAGGTTTAGTAGAGTTCTGAGTAGAGAAGACATAAGGAGTGTGGAATTTTCAAGTCCTAAGTAGCCACAGTTATCAAGTAACTGGTTCTAAAGCAGCATTAACATACTGCTGTTGTCTGGTACTAAACACACAATACATATCCACACATCTAGCCTTCATGTTATTTCTTCTTAGCAGCTACCTGTTTCTAAGCCTCAGTTTCCTCATTTATAAAATGAAGAAATATTGAGTTGCTGGAAGAGTCATGACGCATTTTTGCTTGAAAAACATAGAGGGGCCTCCCTGGCCTAGGAGTTAAGTCTCAGCCTATCACTGCTAAGGCCTGAGTTTGATCCCCAGCCAGGAAGCTGACCCACATAGCGCAGCAGAACACTCTGTCTCACCTGCTGTTCCCCTTAGCAGTGTATTTCAGTAAATCCACCTGTTCTGTTCCCTGCTGTCTCTGGTGAATCCTCTCATCCCCCGTACCTCTGGCCAGTACCCCAGTTCTTGCATGCATAAACACATAAATCTTTTTAAATAAAAACTAAAATAAATAAATAAAATAGAAAAAATACATCATGACTTTTCTGACACCCAAAAATTCTTCTATCCCAGAGCCTTTAGGAAGAGAAAAATGCAACCACCCACAGGAAAGCACTTATAAACTGCAAAGACATCTATAACTCAATAAAGAGACACAGGAAAGCACACTACTATTCACACCAAACACAGAGTTAAATGGAATCCTAGGCATTCAGCTAAAAAAGAGAATAATATATAATAACTCAAATGGTGGAGGACATCTGCTTCCTATTTTATTTCATGGCAGATGGCTTGGAGGGGAGAGGACTCTGCTGTATTCTCCACACACAAGGAAGTTCTCTTCCCTCATTTGTCCCCTAGTATGAGCATCAAGCAGTGCTAAGTCTGACCTTAGAGTAACCTGGACTCTACTCAATATCTGTTTTTCATGCTATCTTGGAAGGCAGCCCTCACACAGGCCATAACCAGGTATATCGACTCTTCTTTAAATGCTTTTTTAAAAAGTTATAAGTATACACTGCCCAGACCCCAAGGCTTGACCAGTTGCCTCACTGACCTTCTCAGCCATGGCATCCATGTAGTCTTGTCGCTGGTACTCTCGCCGGCGCAGATGCCTGTACACATGGAACTCTCCACTTCCAGCCCCTGCACTTGAACCTAGAGGCAGGACAGTTCAGAATTCTTGAAGAAATCTAGTTAGCAACATAGGCTACACTTAATCAAAATGGGCTAACGAAGAAACTGGAGAGGTGGAAGGCATCCTGCCTACCCTGTTCTCCATTGTGTCCCAGAATCTAGCACAGTGCCTGGAATAATATAGGCACCATTACACATTCGTTACATGAATGCAGAAAATGAAGTCACAAAACATTCCACTCTAACACAAATTTAAGAGAAGGAGCAGACTATAGTTGAGTATCAGAAACCTACAAGAGAGCCTGTGACCTTTCCCTCCCTTCACAGGATGATTTCACATTTAATTATGCTAGATTTCGAAGTTGAAAGATGTCCATGATATAATCAGTGAAAAAAGTAGGTTAACTGCAACAACTGTATTTTTGTAAAAACCATTTTTTCTTAAGCGTGTGTAGCACTGACTATAGAGGTCAGAAATGCCGTTATCAGGTACAAGTAGAATGACGCAAATGGCGGGGGTTCTAACTTTTTCATATTTCTATTTTTTTTCTTTCCTTTTTTTTTTTTTTTTTTTTTTTTTTTAAGAGGCATGCTTTATTTGTTTGCTGGTTTGTTTGTTTGTTTTCTTTATACATGCACTGGGTACAGTCAGAAGCGCGGGAGGGTGAGAGAATTCACCAGAGCCAGAGCGGGGAGCAGAACAGGCAGAAGGACCGAAGTACACTGCTGAGGGGAGCAGCGGGCGGCAGGAGAGGTCTGCGCGCCATGTGGGACCCTCCTCCGGTGGCCGGGGAGCAGCCGGGGATCGAACTGGCGCCGCAGAGGCCGTGCGCAGTTTCGCAACCCAGCGCTCAACCGCTGCGCCACCGGGGAGGCCCTCTTTCCTTTTTTTAAAGATTTATTTATTTATGCATACAAGAGCTGGGGTACAAGGCCAGACCTGTGGGGGTAGGGTGGGTGAGAGGATTCACCAGAGACAGAGTGGGGAACAGAACAGGCAGATTGACGGAAGTACAATGCTGAGGGGAGCAGCGGGGGAGTCAGGAGAGGTTTGCTGCACCATGTAGTTTGCTCCCTGGCCGGCTGGGGGATTGAACTCGTGCTACAGAAGCTGTGGACAACTTCATAGGTTGCGTCTTAACCCCTTGTGCCACCAGGGAGGCCCCTATTTATTTTTCTTTATACTTAGTATATGTCAATTTACAATCTAGCAATATAAAACCATTTCCCCTTAGAAAAAAGTATTTTGCATTATTAAAAATCAATGCAAAAGAAAATTCTTGAATTCCAAGGCATATACAATGTCTTTGTTATAAGAGCAAAATATTGGGTCTGTGAACATTTTTTTCCCCATCAGAGATTAACAAACAATATCTCTACTTTAAAAAAATCCTATTTACACACACACACACAAACACACACACATTACCCATTACATCTCGGACAAATTCTGGGGGAGGTCGAGGTGCCCATTCACTCATTTTTTCTGGAATTGGAACTGCTTTGTCCTGCAACAGTTAAACAGGAAAGCACTTATAAGTATAAACTGCTGGCAAAGTCACATCCCTTATAACCAAAGAATTTTAACTGGTGAAGTAAGGCAGTTTTGCACCTTGGACCGGAAGCTGATTTTACCTTCTCCCTCTGTTTTAGCTTTACTCCATCCTATATACTTTGGGAGTCTATCACAGCCTACAGCCTTATTAGAGCCTCACTTAACTTTCCAGAGCAGAGCTCTAAAGTCACTCACTATGGTTGGGAACGTCGAGCTTCAACCCTTCGTACTACACGAGACTCAACCCTTTCTAAGAAAAGTACCAGGCCTTTTCATCCAGTTGTTTTTATGACTGAGGATCGGATGATAGGAGAGTGACTTGCCCTAGGTATCTCGGCCATAATCCGTGCTATTTAGAAGAAAATTAACCCTTGGGCTAACTCGTGGATTCTACCTTTCCAGTCTAACGCTTCAGTTCACAGAAAGTTAAAGCGAAAAGGGCCCTACAGGACGGGAAGGGGCTCCACAGCGCCCTCGTCCAGACTCGCCTCAGACATCAGGACAGAAGAGAAGCTCGCCATCTCCGGAGCCGCCTAATCCTTCCTAAGGACTGGCCCTGGGGTTCGGGTATGAGTTCCTGAGTTTGGAGGCGAGGCGGGGATGCCCGGCCCGCGGGTCCCAGGGGTGTCAGAACCCAACCCGGACGGGAATAGGAGGGGCCGTCGAACCCGCGTCACTCTCACCGGGTTCTTCATGAGCCGCTCCAGTTTGAGCTTCTGCTCCTCCGCCGCATTCTTGGGGATGACGAGCGCCTGGGGCTCCTTCTTGGGCCTCGGTGGTCGCACCGAAGAGGCGGCCGAGCTCGCCATGACAGCTTTCCTGCCTCCCGGGCGCGCGGCGGTGGCGCGCACTTATGACGACAGAGCCGTGCGCCAGCAAGCGCGGGCTCCTAGCTGGGTGGGGCCGGGGCGGAGCCGTAAACCGGAAGCAGGTGCTCAATATTCATGAGCCTGAGCCGGGGTCAGTTGTTTCGATCCGTGGAGGTTGGTTTCGTTTCCTGCTTCTGAACAAAATCAAGGCGTCCTAAAGTCGATGTCCTTCGGGAGAGATGGCCTTACATGCCCGAGGGCTCGGCGCCATCCGTTCCGTCCCGTACCCGTGTGCATCGACCGCCACTTGCTCTGCTGATGGTTCTCCGCATCCCCTCCCGACCTGGGCCTTTGTCCTGGCACGTCTTTGGGTCTGGTCCACTCCTAAGCCCCCTCACTTCCGACATCTGTTTATTTAAGACAGCGCACACGCGTCACAGTGAGTCTCCCAGAAGACTGGATTCCCATCTCTTTTGTTCACTTCTAATTACTCAGCACGTGACATCCAGCCAATATAACTGGGGGAATGAATGTGACTTTCTGACAACAAAGAGAAAAGCTGTCCCTCACATCTGTGAGCTGGCCTGGCACTCTCAGCTAGGTCTTGGTGTTTTTCTGTCGGACTTACACATTTCCCAGAACATCACACAGGCAATTCTGTAACCATGATGGAGCAAGACATAAACAAGATTGCTTGTAATCATGTTTGACTATAAATGAAAACAAGAATGTTGTTGGAACCAGAAATAGACCAAACATTTCTCCATTCTGACAATGTGAGTAACTGCATCTTTCTGACAGCACTAGCCTACTTCATTCCTCCCACTTTAAATATTTAAGGTACACATTCTCAGAATGCCTCTAATCTTGAGTAAAAGTCCACTTACTTGAACTTGTCCCCAAGTCACCCAACCCAAGCCCAAATCCTAAGTCCTTTTTAACATGCTCTTATTGAAGTAAATGCAGTCTTTTCCCTTGAAAGAGGCAATAAACCCAATTTGTTCAACCATAGGTGTGTTCCCGTTGGTCTTTGCAATTGTTGGTTTTCTCATTTACCATCTTTCTGCCTCTAGAGAGTTATGCCATGGTCACTGCTGCATTCCCAGTGTCTGGGGCAAGGCTGGTGCATAGCAAAACACTCAGTAAACATTTTCTGGATGTGCATAGCGTCACAGGCCCAGGCACCTCAAAAACTGCTGCTTCTGCTGCCCTGGACTGATCTCCCACTGTCTCCAAGGGTCAGATAGCAACTCCTATGACAGGCTCAAAAATCATCCCTGGCTGCTGTCTGACAAAACCAGTGGGTGGTTTTCAGGGGCTGAAGGTGATGCATGAGCGGAGTCCTGGAGAGGTTCGAGTCTGTCACTGGAACATCAGGAGAGTGAGTTGTGGTCACTAGCTCCATCTCACACATGCCAGCAACCCAAGTATCTCACCTTTCCATAAACATGCCACAAAAAGACTTTACCTGGAATGTCTTTTCCTTTCTGAAGAACTCCCACACATTTTTCTTAGCTTGGCTTAAATGCTGTCTCCTCCATGAAGCCTCCTCTGACTCCCTTGCAGCTCCCACCTCCAGGCAGGCACTCCTTTCTTGGTGCTTCCCCTGCTTTGGGTCCTGCTGGCTGGTTTGTCACAGTTACCATGGTGTGTCCTCACCATCTGTCTCCCTCCCTCCCTCCGGGGGAGGGTTGAGCCAGAATCCCAGCATCTAATCCTGGTTTAAAGTAGAGTGGGTGCTTCTAGAACACTTGCAGACCAGAGAAATGAGGGAGGAAGGAAAGGAGTCAATCACTGCCTAAAAAACAAAGAATGAAATAATGTGTAAATGAGATGATCAAGTGATGAGTGAATGAATGAAAATGAAGTAAAGTGAGTACCAGAAAGAATGAATGAACACTCCATTATTAAATTGATACTTCATGAATGAACAAATACACAAGACAGTGAATTAGCAGAGAGGTACGGACACAGACAGCTGTCTCCCTGACACCTCCAGCTTAGGGTCTGGCCCAGAGCTGGTGATGGCAGATAACTGCTAGATGGAAGTGAATGAATGAAGTGAATGAATACAGAGAGGTGGGGGAGAGTTAAGGCATGTGGACTCAAAAGCGCCAATAATAACAACTTAAGTGTCTAAGCCAAGCCTAAATGTGTTGAAATATCTATCATTCAGATTTACAGATAAGGAGTGGGGGCCCAGAGTGGTGAGGAACTGACTCAATATAGCAATATAGTCCTGAGTCCGTGTGGGCCTGAGTCATCATGTGACTCATGGATGGATGAATGGATCAATATCTCCAACAGATGCTGGTGGAGGGCACCTGTGTGGCACCCTCTTAGGGCTTAGTCAGGATTACAGGTCCTGCTTCGTAGGACCAAAGGGTGCCCCAACCCAACCTTGAGTAAACTCAGACCTGGCATGACTTTCCTCTTGCCACCAGAGGGCAGCAAAGCTCCACCTGCTGGTCTATCCCGGGAGCCCCAGAACTGGACACGCAGGCAATGGTATTGCTGCCCTGAAAGACACCAGTGCTTTTGAGTCTGGCTGACCTAGTGCCAAAGTTTGGGTCCACCTATTCTGAATGGTGAGCTGGGCAAGAAACTTAATGTCTTGACGACTGTTTCCTCATGCGCAAGATGGGGACAAACACACTTGACATTGACATTGGCCTGTGGATAAAATGATGTGATGGTTTTACAGTGCCTGGCACAACACCTGACCGTAAATAGTAGGGTGGCCACCAGTCAAGTTTGATTGTAGGACTGAGGGTTTTCCCAGGATGTGGGATTTTCAGTGCTAAAATCAGGTGAGTCTTGGGTAGGCGGGGACAGCTGATCACCCCAGAGAGGTGGACATGCCTACCTCAATCCTTTGAGTTGTGATTAGTACTTAAAGAACGAAAACAATAAAAATATTCACATAATTAGATTTCTCATTGAATTAGTGACTCATTGGTCTCTCCACAGTAGCAAGACAACAGTGCCACGAATGGGGCTACAAAACAAAGATGGAATATACCCACTGTGGGAAATAGTTTGTCAGTTTCCTATAGTTTGTCAGTTTCCTATAAAGAGAAGGAGACATCTATCACACAACAATCTCACTGTGGGTAGTTACCCTAAAGAAATGAAAATATACGTACACCGACAGACTATGTGAATACATAGAGCAGTTTGATTCATAATTGCTCCAAACTGGAAATAACCCAATTCATGTGGTAATATATTACTCAGCAATAAAAGGAAAAGAACTATTGATATGTGAAACCACAAGGATCTAAACATAAAACACTATGTTTAGTGAATGAAGCCAGGTTCAAAAGGTGACAACCTGAATGATCCTGAGATTCTGAGAAGTCTAAATGATGGGGCAGAACACAGATCTACTGTTGCCAAAGACCAAGAGTAAGAGGAGGGAGTTGACAGGCAACTTGGGGTGCTGGACATGTGGAGGTGGTTACTTGAACATACATTTTTGGCAAATTCATTGAATTATGCACTTGAAAAGGGTGAATTTGTATGACAATTATATCTCAAACCCTTGACATAATAAACAAAAGTTGACTTGCCAGGTTGGAGGGAGGCAGCCCACCATTATCTTGGTGACTTTGGTGAGCACTACTAGCTTACACCCACTGTGCCTGTGTGATGAAGCTCTGACTCTGTCTATCTTCCCTGGCCTGCTTTGTCCAATGTGGGACCAGGGGCTGGGGTGGCAGTGATAGCTTTCTGAAGCCTTGAAGCCAATGTAGATGAAGCCCTAGATTCTGCCTCTGGGCCCTGCACACCCACAGGGCAGAATCTTGGCGGTTTTGGCTGGGGCTGGGTTGCACCCACAGGCCATGGCTCTTTCTGAGGTGGACCACCCTGAGCAAAGCAGGAGGTCCCCTGAGCTGTAGCAGGCGTTAGCTCCTCCAACGCTCCAGTCCGACTCTCTGATGTACTCTTATCACTAACTTGGACTTCCAGCTGGGGACTCTGTGGTCTCTGGTTGAAGGGACTGGCAGGAGAGATGCAGCTCTCTGTGGGGGTAGGCCCACGACCTCTCAGCACCCCCACCCTGCCCCCATGTCCTGAACACCTTCCCTGGGTGACCTCCCATGAATGTGTAGTCAAGCCACAAATTCTCTGCTGAGTTCCATATACACAGACACGCCACACTCAAAATGGTCCCAGTGCAATAATAATCCCAGTCACTGATTCAGCTGGCACTTTCTATGCCAGACTTTGCCACTGGGCTATATGCATGATCTCATTTAACTCACAGGAGAACCTTCTGAGACATGCACTATTTTAAAATATTTGTATCATGAAAGAAAACCAAAATAGGCTTAATGAATGATCACAAAGCAAACACCCAAATGATACCGTTCCCGTTAAGAAATAGAGCATGGCAGCCCCCAGAGCTCCCTGCTGACCCTCCAAACCTCTGCTCTCCCTCTTTCCTCTGCAGGTACACACTTTTCTGGCTTTAAACGTTTTTACTTCCATACTTTTAAAAATATTTTTTTATGTTTTTGCCACTTAACCCTATATCTCTAAAATGCACTTAGTTCATCCTGTTTTTTGAACTCTATATCCTTGGAATCAATGAGTATGCATTTGAATGAGAATCAATGAGAATGCATCTTTTTTTTTTTTTTAAAGATTTATTTATTTATTTGTACAAGCACTGGGTACAGTCAGAAGCGCAGAGGGTGAGAGAATTCACCAGAGTCAGTGCGGAGAGCAGAGCAGGCAGACTGACAACACTACTGAGGGGAGCAGCGGGCGGCAGGAGAGGTCTGCGCCCTGTGTGGGACCCTCCCCAGCGGCCAGGGATCTTACCGGTGCTGCAGAGGTGCAGCCCAGCACTCAACCGCTGTGCCACTGGGGAGGCCCAATGAAAATGCATCATCTTCCTGCTACTCTGAGGTATGCCTGTTTACTCATCTACAGGTATCTTTTGTCAAAAGATACTTTTGACAAAAGTACCTTTGTCAAACCATTTCCTTTGGTTAGGGTTTTTTATGTTCTGTTTTAAAAA